CTAAAGGAGACGCTGATGTAATTCTCCACCATTTCCTTCCGAGATATTCCTGATTTCATAAAGTCTGCACATTCATGTGGAGCTCGTCGAGCGGGGCTTTCTTCCTGCTCTCCTCAACCACTACCTGGCCACCGCAACCATAAGGATCATACCAACGCCCACAAATGCATGCTTTGCCGCCGGTCAGACAGCCACCGCGCTGACACCGGTCGGCATGTCCGGGATTGTGGCGTGCTGCGCGGGCCCGGACTCGCTGCAGCTGATCGCGTTTGATGTAGGCCATGACCGCTGGGGAGGCCGCAGCCGCTGACCCCGGCCTAAGCTGATGAGTGGGGTCGGTGAACAAAGAGTAGCGGTCCGGGCCGGACATTATTGGCGATTTTTGCTGGATGTTGTGCTTTCAGTTCGATGAAACGCTACCTCGCCGCCGAACCGGATCGGGCTTCTTCGTGACTAGCGAATGCTCCCGTTGAACTCGGTGCGGTGTCGAGCTGGATACAAAGGTTGGGGACTGAATCCTTTTGAGTTCATAACCTGCACTCATTCTATGGGTAAAATTCACATCCATGATGCGCCACAAACTAAAATAGCAGAATTATATAGAAATCCGACGTGTTGAAATAATTATATAATAACGCTCTATATCGATATTTTATTCTTGAGAGCTTTCTTTCAGGCTTTTAGACTAAAGACGGGGTATGGGAAACGAACGGTGGCTGGCTACCGTACGGTGTCACCGAGGCTGACGAGAAGTTCGCGTTAGGCGACTTTGCTCCATCTGGCATGCCAGCAATTCAGTCTATGTTAATGTCGTAAGCCAAGGCTAAACCCGTCAGATGTTACGGCTCATGCTGCTTGTTCAACGTCAAGAGGCAGACTATTCCTTGCATAGCGGCCTTGCCTTTCCCTTCGCATTGATCTATCCCAGCTTCTTATGACTTGGCTGTGGCATCGAATTCAGGTGTTGGATGATGCTTTCCTAACGGTTGCAAGACAGCGGCGAATGACAGTTTTGTCCGTACCATTGTGCATCTGCATTGGGGCACCCTAGCCGTGAAGGAGCCCTTGGGTGCAACAGCCGGTTGAAACGGCATTGGTCTGTTTTGCAGCTGTCTTTCAACCCCATGATGTCATTTGTGACATTTTAAATCGCAAAAAAGCATTGCAACTTGTATATTTTGCTGAAACAGCAAATAAAACCTGTCGAGCCAGGTATGTTTTGACTCCAAATGATGGTTTGCGTTACAGCAAAAAGTCGAAAAAAGCTTTGAATGAAAGCATTCAACAATGTACGTGATGCCATCAATGTTTTTGCTGTTCAGCATTTTGAGTGAAATATTATTAAACGGATATGTTCAGCTCCAATACTTCAAAGTCGCATTACTTTCGAAGGGTCACCATTTCCTGTAACCTTCGCAAGGCGATGTCCCGCAGGAACTCTCCCAGGAAGTTCCTGAAAGGTGAAAAGTTCCTGAGGAAAGTTCCAGGAATTCACCTCGGGATACTCTGAAATAACCGTTGAAGTTGTGAACGTATCGGACGGAAGCTAACAATTACTCACTTTACGGCAATCTGCGCCTTTGGTGAACACCTGATAGGCCATTGGTGATAATCTTTTTCTTGAGGTTATTTGGGTCGCATTTTTGGTTCATGCCTCTTATAACGTAGGTCAGTCGCAGAATATGCCGTCTAAAGCACTGCCATGTTTGAAATTTGCTCTTCATCATCACAGTCCATGCTGCATCATTATAACAACAAACTTCACATAGCTAGTAAGTGCTGGCTGTTAAATTTGATATAACTAACTGCCAATCAGTCTAAGCCAGAGCTAACTCGCAAATGTAAGATAAGAGAATATAATGGCTTTCAGGAAATAACATTTCACCCTCGTTATATAATGTGGAGCGCTTCAAGCCGCTGTGGCCATTATTCTGGGGCAGTTTGATAGCTGTTTCCCATCGTTACGTGTCCTGTTGTACCCTGAATGATTCATAAAACCACTTGATGCGTGGCATTGGTAGATATGGCTCGATTCGAATGACTTTATTTTGACATGTCGCAGATTACATCTACTGAAAGCCTTTCAATGAGCACGTTATGCGGCTTCCTGAGGGGGCTGTACAGTATCACTCTTCCGACAACCACAGCGTATGCAAGATATCACGGATACCTGGTTCCTTTTGTCCTTATCTGACCCATTGAACGTCACTTACGCTGCTGCTCAGTGACGCTAATCCGACGCTGTTTTACACGATTTATCCCAAGCAGCCCCGCGCTTGGGCAGCTTTAGCCAGCTTTCCAGCGTTTTTAGTCTTTAAGAGCAAGGGGCTCTGCAAAATGCGCTCTGGTCCGACGACGGTAATGAAGCTACCCGTGCAACGAGCCCCAGGCGACAGCCTTGAATCTAGGTTAATGCAAGAGGTCAGTAATATTCGAAAGAGCTGCATTGCTGTGATGTACATGGAATTGTGCTCATGCTGCAGTTAAGTGTTTACTGGATTCAGAATGTTTTAGTTGCGCATACCTTGACGTTATTGTGATGCTGGATGAGTAGTTTGCGTGATGACATACAATGCGTATTGAACCTCATTTGCATGTGGCGCACGTGAATAGCGGGCATCGTGCATGGCACGTGGTAAAACGATGCATAGCGAAGTGATATGTAAGCTATAGTTGCAATACTGTGTTTATTTCGCCTCATTGCGACAATCACGCAAACAGTTCTGAAACACGTCGATATCTATACGTGACGCCGCAGACCCTTTCAGCACAGATCATGTCATGGGTGTTCTGCAAAGCATTTACGAGTCGCGGTAGTCAAATACTTAAGTCTCAACATTCCCATAAGTGCCAAGAGGAGCAACCACAGCGTATTGATAGAGGTGAATTCCCCCTCCTGGATAAACGAAAGCTGCCAGCGCATTGGCATATTTAAACCGGCGCTAATGAACCGTTGCATAGTTACCGAAGAGGATTAACGGCACTAATCGCATTACAAGCCCGTTGAGCAGCCAGCACGTCACAGCATGACATCATATGACATGATATGGTAAGACTGCAGCTGACATGTGGCATGACATGATATTGCATAATATCGCACATTTGGTGTAAGTATGAGGGAACGTGCTCGAAGGCATGTGCGAGATCTTGTATAAGTTTGGTCATAGCGTGCGTGAACAGTCGCTCAGTATTCAACCGCTGAATATCATAGCTGACAGTTGAAACATATGCATAAAGTGTGCTGCCTTTTATTCAGGAAAACTTGCCGCGCACCAAATATAAATATATCGAACACTTCGCATGGACAAAGTGACAGATATGAAGTAACAAATCGCAGCAATGATAACATGACATTTTTGCATCGTTCATGCAACTTAATGTTCCTGCACAACATCGACAGAAATGGTTTAGTTTAGCGTTAAACGGAACGAATTAAATTTCACATCTCAATGCAGATCGGTTAAATCCCAAGGCGGTTACAATGTAGCCAAGCAGCAGCTTCAAATGCAATCAAATGCATTAGTTATTTAACTAAGATATACTCACGGTCAGCATATTATGCAACGCGAGTTATCGAACATCATCAATGCATGCTTACATGAGCGCGTTTCTTATTGGTACACGGTCAAGAAAAACGTGATAGTTTTTCCAGAAACAGATCGTTTGTTTGTGCAGTGGCCAGTGCCTAACGCATCATGAGCCCCGTGCTCTCGATTGACCAGACAGTTGCATTCGGAAGCCGGCGAGCACAGATGGCCACTACTACAATCAAGCTCTGTTGTGCTCAAGGCTGCTGCCAACAGTACACGCATGGGTTCCGCTCGAAATGCATAGCTTCACCCTGCAGCTGTGGACCATGTATCGGATGACATTCCGCGTGGCATTAAAACGCGCACACAACCGACCAAGTGTACTCCATCGAACAAGGTTCATTTTGTTTGGTACTATTTGAACTTGCTGACTCACACCTAGTTTTGCGAGCAGGCCATGAGATGCAACTCACGATGCACCATGTTATATTACTCAACGCCACAACACGAGCGTTCTGCACAAATGCTCGCCTCGTGCCAATCATTGGGCTCTCCGATATTCCACATACCTTTCGATGCTTTTTAGGGAAGTCCCAACAAAAGGGCCAAGCTATGCAACACACAGAAAATATTTGAAGGAGGAAGTGCGCGGCAGAAAGTTGTAAGTAAGATTGTACTACATTTCAGATCTAGTTGTAGTTTAAATTTGCAACCTACAATCTGTCGTTGTTAAATGCGTCAAATGGTACATTCCACGCATAAAAAACTTCCCATTTATTTAGAGGGAAGCTTTTTTTCTTGATAAACTTTCCATGCATTCTTGAGCCACGTTAGATAATCCTGTATTTTAACATGACCTATACTGGTGTTTTATGAGAAGGATCCCTACTTAAATTCTCAACACGCGTTCCTCAACCATTCTGAAAAAAAACATTTGGAAGATGGCGGACCCGCAAACGGCGACATTGAAACCTCCATGAAGATGCTGGTAAAGTCGATTTATAAGTCGTTTCTTGCTGTGCAGCGCCTTATCGTTGAGGCCAATGTTTCCAGAGTTGGAGGAGGGAGGCAGCTGCTTCTCCGACACTTAAAGCCACCTCCCTGCATCTCGATCCAAACATTGTAGTCTCTAGTTTTTAGGGTTCGCTGCTTTTTGTTTAACAGTGGTTTGGAACAGCTCAGTTGATCATCTCCGGCAGCGTCACCTATCATAGCTTGCAACTGACATCAAACTTCACAAGCCAAGGACCAAAAATATAGTGACACGCAACGGCATAAAAGTCCTCGTCTTCAAGTACTTAGTGAACCCAAAAATACCTAACAACCTAGTAATCACCGCCTACCATTGGCGGGGAAAAAAAATTTCAAGTGAGCGTAACATATTTCAGCGGGGCACAGCGGGGCAGCAGCGCCAAATTGAGTGTAACCACAAAACCCATAACAACTCTTCAACCGCTCATCGCCTCTCACCTTCCACGATGACGGCATCGTCCTGTCTCGAACACGCCCCTGTCGACGGTGGCGGCGCGGGCGAGCGTCAGCAGGCAGGCGGACACGATCAGCGCTCCGGTCGTCATCGTGGCCTCCCCGCAGCGCTGCTGGTGGCCGACTGGCGGCGGCCGTGGGCCCGACCCCGCTTGCTGTGCGGTCACCAGCGGCGGCCGGGGGCACCGGCATTCACGAGACGTCAGCGTGCCAGGTCTCTGCTGTCATCGGGCGGCCGTGACAGACATGTCGCGATAGCAGCCGGAGGACGTTGGCCGCGACGTGGGGCGGAAGAGGTGAGCAGACGTGATGTTATGACCATGTAGATGATGTCCGCCTCCTGGCCTGCTGAAGCATGGAAATTTTAATCCACGAGAATCGACGAGGAGGATGACTTTAGAAAGTTTACGCTTTGTTGCCGTCCAAACCACGGTGTGATGCACAGCACTTGATAGTAACATATAGTAACCACCGGGTGCGCTTGGTCTCCCTTTACCAAACTGATGTGCTTATGTAATGTATGTAAATGTATGGAGGGCGTGCGCGACTAAATGTTGACTCCTTTACCAAATTTATGTGCTTATGTAATGTATGTTAATGTATGGAGGGCGTGCGCGACCAAATGTTGACTCCTTTACCAAATTTATGTGCTTATGTAATGTATGTAATGTATGGAAGGTGTGCGCGACTAAATGTTGACTGCTAAAAGACCCAGGCAGTGCATGCAAAACAGAACACCGAGAACACACAATGTTGTTTTACGAAACGCACAATATTTGGCCCGATTGCAGCGCGCTAAGCCCGCTTTTCAGTGGTTCATTTTAGTCGTGCCCCGTTCCCCTTTCTCAAACCCATCCTGCGTCTCTGGTATTCCATTTATGTCCCGTTTCGAAAAAGGTAGCATGTGCTGCCGTGCTATTGGCACACACATGTGCTCCGAACGGTACTGAGATCGCATAATGGTTTGCTGACTGTACGTCTGTCTACACAATAAAGTTGGTTTCCTCTATCTACTCTGGTCACCAAAATCGCACACTTAATCTTAGCAGCGTTCAAAAACGTGCGGATTGCACGCTTTGGCTGGCATACATTGACTGACGCTTATCCACGTACGATTGTATTTTCTCCCCCTTCTGTCTAGTTCCTGCCACGTCGCTGAGATCTTGGCCTGGAGGGTGGAGAGAGGGTGAAATTAATAGTGATGGCACTACAAGCTGCTAGATTGATCAAACAACCAGCATTCAAGTCACTTGCAAATATCACGGCATAACTTCAAATCAGTTGTGCTACTTGGCACCAAATACTTCATGTTGGTTCGATGGCTGGTTCCATGAAGGACCTAAGCCCGCCACACGCGTGACTGGGGGCACCGGGTCTGAACAGCCGTCTCCAGCTGCACGACGTTTCCGTCTCGGTGCCATTAAGACTGACTCGGCCTGCAGCTCCGCTTGGTTCAGCGTCAAAACCGTTGTCAACAAAATTTTCAGGCCAAAACTTCTTCAGGAAAAACTTGCGATGAAAACATTTTTAGCACGTTTTTGGTAGCGAATGGGTAATGCTGGGTGAATCCGCCATTTTTCTCTCATTTGGACTATATTTCGACAAGTTTCCGACATCACCGGACACCGCCCTGGCCATCCTTACTACATTTGAAAGATCTCAATGCCACATTCTGACTAGGTCATCATTTCATCTCAACTACCTCGCTTCAGATATGATGAAGTAGAAGCTTCAATATTTTTAAATGTGAAACATTTCCTTGAAATAGCAAACTGTTCGCGCAGGATGAATTTGCCCAGTGCTCCTTACCCTGCAGCCAGCTACAAGGACAAAAACGACGTGACAGGCTTTTGCTCTTGTTCCTCGAGGCGTTTGCATTTAAAACGAGTCGCGAGAACATGAACATGAACGTTGACCACTCATTGTATTGGCATGCAACACCTCGCACATCTGCTCAGTTCCATCAGCTTGAGCACGTTTGACATGGCACATGGGACGCGATTGTCTCTGGGTCAAAAACCTTCGAGGGCTAGATCAAAGACCTTCGAGGCCATGCCTCTAGACAAAAGACCTTCGACACATAACTCGGTGTTGCTGAAGTGGTTTACGTGCTAATGATACAGCCTATTTCGAGAGGGGCGCACATAAATGTCCTGTGCAATATTTCCCATGGGAGTACATGAAAAATATTGCCAAAACGTCGAATCAGGTTTTATGCAGTGGTAGCTTGCCATGTGTTATGCTCAGCCTAGTCTATTGTGGTGAGTTGTCATACCGTGAGTCAAGTATCAAAGACCTTCGAGGCCATGTCTTTGGGCAAAAGACCTTCAACCCATAACTCTCGTCGCTGCAGTGATTTAAGTGCGCGTGATACGGCCTTTTTAAGAAGCGATTGGAAGCAATTGAAAACTGCCTGGAAAGATTTGAAAAGTATTGTCCGCTACACATAGCATTGCTGACGAATTGTAAAACCTAATACAAAATGTTCAAAATCGCATTGTCCAAAAGTGACGGAGCATGCTATCCAAAACGAACAGAAAACCAAGGCTGTCTGCATCGGTAATCGGCTTACCGCATTTTGAGTCTCCAAATGACACTAATATTGTGCATATGTATAGTGCGCACGGTCTCCGCAAACGTGCGTCTCCAATGTGTTTATTAAACCAGTCGCGGACGCTACGTTACGTTTCTCCTAAAGAGCATATCTCCGGGTAGAAGCCACAAGAAAACTTTGTGCCACGTTCCTCCATGCATATTTTCTTTTCAACCGGCTGACACATTTGTGGCAAACCGTACTCCCAGTTGGCCATGCCGTGGTCCCGCGGCCAACTGAACTAGCGTGGACATTAAGACGGGACCATTAGCCCTAATGCGGTGCCAACCACTCGATGCCATGGTAGCGTTCGCCTGTCTGCACAACTTGTCAACTATATACGGAAGCTTTACATGTACAAAATCGTCTCGCGTCGCATCTCTACGGCCTCGTCGCGGACGTGATATATTGTTATTGAAGACGTGCGGCGCGGCAGCAGGCCACAAACAGTGTTCTGGGTATCTGTTCCCACGGTAAAGAATGGGCGTTTTGATCCGACCACGCCCACACGACTGGGGACCAGAAGATACACAAGTATCCGTGGCGAGCGCCGAGCTTTGGCCATGGGTTTGAAGTACAGTTCCGCGGTGTATTTTCCATCTGAGCTTGCGCCCGACTGTGACCCTAGTAGGGGGCGGGGGAGGGGGTGCGCCGATCGCTTGTGCCTCGCCTCTCCGATACTGCGAATGTCATTTGTGATCATTTCTGGCCAATGACGAAGGATGTAATTCATGAAATATGGAAAATAGCTCTCGTCTTTTACAGTGCCACGTTACAGACAGCAGCATCGAGATTGTCGCATATAGCAGCATACAGATTATAGCGGGGCTACAATATTGAAAGTCATGGGAAAGGAGCGACGGGATACGTAAGTTCCTTCGGTTTGATTTGATATTTCTGACAAGTCAGAAACAGGATTTATGGATCTCCAGTTCACGAGTCATTACGACCTGCACGACGAATCCCATGCGGGTACCGTCACGCTGCACCGCCCCACTCCTGTCGACTGCCTGGTGTCCGGCCAAAAACTCCAGTGGAAAGAAGCCGATTGCAAAAAGGTGAACGAAGAGGATTGAACGACAAAAAGTCGACAGGAATGACGGTCGACAGGGTTAAACGTCGAATCAGGAAAAAGTCGAAGGACAAAAAGCTGACAGGGCTAGCAGTCGACAGTGGTAAAAATGAGAAAAGACCGAAAGGGATAAAGGTTGACAGGGGTAAAAGATCGGAGAGCACTTCAGTAGTGGGAGCCAAAGCACCAGTGGAAACCATGAGCCAGGGCAGAGCTGTTTGTAAAAGAGCTGGTGAGAACCAAGGAACCTAAGTCTAGTGCTTGCGGAAATCCAAAGTGAGCCAAGAACAAGGTTCTGGGGTGGGTGAAGGAACTAGTGAGAACCACGAACCCATATTTATATTCACGAACGGACCAGTGATGACCAGAAACCAAAAGGTGGGGTTTGGAAAATAACCGACTAGAACGAAGGATTCAAGATCACGTTTTCAGAAGGGAGAACTGGGAGCCAGGTACGTTTCTGTCTGGCACCAGGAATTATGGAAAACGGGACTCGCGACAGGTGCCGTCACCGTGCACCGCTTCACACCGTGTGCGCCGGTGTTGCCCGCGACCGTCCCAGAAAATGGCTAGGAACTGAATCTTCATCGGCATAGTTAGGGGTTAACAGGGTACACACAGAAGATCGTCCACCTCATAGCCTTGGGAGCGTCCCACATGCTTCGGTGGCAGGGACGTGACTTTCTAAAATCGGTTGGAGGGAGCCTGAGTCAATAAGGTTTACTTAGTCCGTCTCCAAATCATATCTCTCTGAATTTCGGTCAATGGGATTTGCGTCTCCAATGTTAAGTTAAGATTGCTTCAAAAACTATTTGTGGGTTTCAAATTGTTTTCATGTCAGGGAATGATATCCAATTTGACGCCGATCTCATGGTGATAACGATGACATGATGATAATGATAAAGATAGCTATGCATTTAGGCACCTAGTTACCAGCAGTTCAGAGCTATGCTGCATTTCATCGGCCCAGTATTCCCTTATTTGCTTATGTGTATTGTGGGTGGGGGGTCAGCGGAGCTTTGAGGGGGCTCAAGCAAGCATTGGGGGGGGGGGGGGGTGGAGTATGAGTAGTATTCAGGAGTATTCGGACACTATAGGTCAGGCACTACGGGTACAGATGCTATTGATCTGTTGCGATGAACCCATAGAACCCGCCATGAGAGATCCGCAATTTTACAGTCCATTGGGAGCAGTGCACAATGTCAAAAATGTTCATTCCGTTCTTTGCCTACCCTTTAACAATCAGGCCACTAAAAATAGAAGCCAAGACTGTTGAAAAGACGTGATATACGACAGTCTGTGACTAATCACATGAAACTACTAAGTAGCAATATTTCCGACACATTTACCTTTCAAAAAGTAAGGTGGGTGAGACGCTATCGGTTAATGCAATATGATCGGTCACGATATAATGCGCTGCCAAACGTTACGGTTGACAATTG